AAAAAAAAAAAAAAAAAAAATCAGTTTCAGGTTCTGAAAAAGTTGTTAGTAGGACCACCTCTTACACTACCCCTACATGATTATATTTATCTGTCCTTCCGATACCTAAATTCTTTCAATAAAAAGTTGATTTTTACGCCAGAAAGAATATAGAATTTGAATTTATTTATTTAGCCATCGGTTCAAGTACAAGATACTATCATTACTGCCCGGACAATTAGACATCCAACCCGTAGTATTATAGTCATATGCATCAATCCACCGTCAACATGCACATTCAAATGGAGGGAACTAATAACTCAAAGCGAAAAATTAGAAGGCTACCTATATCTTTATAATTTTTCCAAAATTTATTTCATAGCTGCAACTTACCATATTTCTTGTTTCTCACTCTTTTTTTATCCTTTCTTCCTTTCCAATTACATCTTGTTGGAGTATCACTTGTGGGTTGTCCCACATTGATTCTATAGGAAAAGTGAGCCAGTATATAAGCCAAGTGGGTTTTGGGACGGAACCTCACTATGGTGCACCTAGGCTCACCCTCTTACGGTGCGCGGTGCGCTTAATATGCGTGGGACTGCACCCTCTTGCCCCGATTCTCTAATCTTACACATCTTGAAGAAAATTCCAATACTATGCAAGAACTTATCAAATTCTACATACATGCAAATAAGTAACACACACAAGTCCTTCAAAATTTTACATCAGCTTAACCACATAAAGTACTTATCCTCTTCTTTTTGTGAATTCATCACAGCATTCAGCTAATAATACGTATAATAAGGATTTACTCCAAAAAAAATTGACAAAATAAAATAGAAAAACAATATATAATGATGGGTGATCGAAGAAAATACCAAAAAAGAGCAATCTTGAGGATGCCCGTGATCACGGCGAGCTGACATGGCTGAGAAATTACGGGTTTTTCTTCCAAGAAAATTAAAATCCCCTGTGATTTCTGTTCTACAGAAGACAAAATTATTATTCCTGGAATTCGAGGAAAAAAGGGAAGGCGACAAAGAGGGGAGCGATGAAATTAACGAGGGCAAAATTCGAGATTCGATTGATGAAGAAAATCTCAGCATATTGTTCATAATTTTTTTCAAAAGAAACAAAAAAAAGAGTTCTGTTTTTTTTTTTTTTCTTGGGGAGAGAGAAGGGTGAGTGTGCGATTTGTTTAGTGCAAATTGCATGAACTGACGCTTGTCACGACAAAAATGCTCGAGAAATGTATTTTATTTTACCTTGATGATGGGTATGTTTGGTTTAGTAATTCTAGGGAGCCAACAGTTGGCTCTATTATAGAGGCAACACCCAGTTAAATTCTTTTATGTGGGGATGTCCCACATAGAGTCCATGTGGGACATCCCCACATGGAGGAATTTAATTGGGTGTTGGCTCCATAAGGGAGCCAACTATTGGCTCCCTATAAGGACTGATGTTTGGTAAGTCTATAATAAAAATTAGGGTTAATTGCCAAAAAAATCACGATCTTTCGTTGAATTGTAAATTAATCTCAATTTTTTTAATTTTGTAAATAAATCTCAACCTTTATTAATTATTTTAATTTTGTCTCAAAATTGAATTCCGGCCATCCGTCGCCACCGGCCGTCGCCCGTCTCCGGCCAACCTCGCCGGAATTGAAAATTTTTTATGTCATTGTGTAGCTCTCCTTCCGGGCAACAACATATCAGAAGTTCTTGTAAAAATTACGACAATAAGGGTCTAATTTCTCAGTCAATAGATGATCGAAAAACTCGTCGCCGGAAAAAGCCATTGTTTCCGGCGATGGTGAATGTCAATAGAAGCGGCTAGGCGAGAGGAGTTCAACGGTACTTTGGATTCGTGTGGGTCAAAGCGAGTCGCCGAAAATTTGCGAAAGAACGGTGGATAAAATTTATAGATCTATTTGCTTTTACCGAGAAATTTGACCCCTTATTGTCGTAATTTTTACACGAACTTCGGATATGTTGTTGCCCGGAAGGAGAGCTACACAATGACGTAGAAAAATTCAATTCCGGCGAGGTTGGCCAGAGACAGGCGGTGGATGGCCGGAATTCAATTTTGAGACAAAATTGCGATAATTAATAAAGGTTGAGATTTATTTATAAAATTGAAAAAGTTGAGATTAATTTGCAGTTCAACGAAAGGTCGTGATTTTTTTGGCAATTAACCCTAAAAATTAAGTTTATAGTTGATAATTGAGGATAATGTTTGACATGTCATCCATCTTATTTAAAAAGTTTATTCTAACAAACCAATTTTATGTGAATATAATAAGCTTACAAGCTAACTAAATCAATTATAAGCAAGGGTATAGTAAAAAACTTTTAGTCGAACTGAGCTATTAAGCGAACACAACTCAGTTTTGTTCATAAATGATAAAACTCGAATTCAATTTATCAAATGATTAGTCAAGTCGAATATTCTTATTTATTAAACAAACACGAGGTTGAACATATTGTATTCAACTCAATTAGGCTCAAACGATGCCACTAATGTTGTGTGTAAAAGAAGATAGAGCATGAAAATATTTTTATTAAGTATTTTACATGAATCACATAGTGTGACGAATGAGAATAAATTATTAAAAATGTCACATGGTGTTTTATAAAATAAAATACTATTTATTATACTTTGTGACATTATTTTATATAGAGATTGCTCTCATTTAACATAAATATAAATTGGTAACTGTGTTTCTTCACTTGATTTGTTAAATTCATTATTTAAAAAATAAAAAGTAAATATCTTGCCTAATTGAGTTTTTTTAGAAAAAAATAATATATATGTTTATAAGTACTGCTATGAGATGAATGAACTATTTAGACATGTTAACCAATATACTTATTACACGACGTGTCACTAAAGATTAACATGTGATTTTATTGACTAATTATATAACTAAATGAGATTAAGTTGATTTTTTTTTCTTATAACCAAAATATCATATATTTAAAAATAAACAAGTAATTGGTGTATGCCGTTTGGAATAATATAAATAATATGGATCGATAGTATCTCAAAATATATTGCCAATGTGAATTCTATTTGACCAAACAATAAAAAAATGACAAGTTTACGAATTAGAATAAGATCATGCACTCGTATATAATTATTAATTTATGCTTAAATAACTTTGTTATGCCACAAATACTCGAACCGCTGGACCGCTCCTCTCGAACCGGGTTGCGTCTCCTTGGTCGTCGGTACCTGCAAAGCACGCCGGGGGTGGTCCCGGCGCGAACACTCCGACGCTCAAGTCAGTGATGGTCTAGAGAGAAAACGGCAGTGTAACGAGATAGTTCGTGAATGTGTGTTGTGTAAAATGAATGAACCTGCTCCCTTTTATAGGAGAAATTCGGAGAGTCCCGGTGGCCTAAGAAGTCTTTCTTGTGTGAACTACTTAATTAGGTCAAGAATATCCTGAATTGCAAGAGTCTTTGTCGCTACCAACTCCTTCGTAACTTGATCCTGAAGCCATCTTCGGGTTCTAGCCCCTTCGACGGCCTATGAGGGCCGCCGAACACACGGGGGTCACCGAGCGCACGAGGGCCGCCGGGCACCTCCCTTGGCCGAGCACTCTCCCACGCCGGGTACTTGCCCACGCCGAACACTCACCCTACGCCGGACACTCATCATATCGGATGATGCCGCGCCAGACACTTCATCCCGACCACCTCCAATGCCGAGCACTTGAGGGGCACCGAACACCATGCGGTGCCGAGCACTCCCAACCGCCCGACTACCATAATGCTTAGCCGGTCCCCTTCATATTGACAATGATGACCGGATCACAACCGGTTCCTCACGAGCCACTACTAACAACCACATCAAACTTTATATAAATTTGAGCAAAATAAATTTATCATATGCTAAATAAATATAATATGTGCTAAAATATTTTTACCACTATATATGTAGGACAAACAAAAAATTATGACTGGGTTGGAGTTCAGGCGAGCCTACCCTTCGCTACGCCCCGGTTATAAGTTAGCTTATATTGCTTATCAAATACACCCATGAAAAAAAATATGTTTTTTTTTTTCTTATTTCTACCAATTTGTCGTTCTACTTTTCTTGAGTGTAAAATCTAAAATAAATTTCAATCCCAATTTAGAATGAATGAGATGAATATTTAAAAAAACAAAAAACAAACAATAGTTGTTATAACTTAAAAGATAATCGGAATCGAATGCGCATAAGTTCGGATAAGCGAACACTTGCTTGCAACCATTGTCGGGACACAAAGTCTGTCACGCCTAATGATACCTGCAAGTTCAAGAACTGATACAGCCAACAACAACCAGCGAAGTAGCTCGCACGATGAATTTTGAGCAGCTATCGCTTCCCTGGCACCTCCTGGCCACTTTGGGTTGCTCGATTCACTCTATGTGCGTCCATTTGCATCTGGCTTCGTTCGAGAGGGTGTCTTTTGATCCATAAAGCCCCAAAACAATACGTATGCATATCTATAAATATATGTGTCATATCGTTACTCAGTTCAATTTTAAGCGCTCTTTGCATTATTTCACTAAGTTTATAATGGTCTTGTTTAGTAGTCAGCGGTTAGCTATTAGCGGATTGTGACATTTGTTTTGACCAGTTGATTATATTAGTTGTTTTGACTCGCAAGTTAGTTTTAATGGTTCCGTAAAATATTGTTTGGTAAAATTAGTGGATTGATTTTGAAAAAATATATTTGGCCCTATTAATTTGATAAAATAATTTATATAAATAATTATAAAGTAATATACATTAGATATTTATATAATTTATTTTTAGAAAAAAAAAATTTGATATGTTAAGTCATTTTAATTACGTTTTTGTATTTATTAAAAAGTAAGGTAAAAAATAACTAACTAAAATATTAAGTAGCAAGTGTAAATTTCTATTAAATATTAAATTGATGTTTAAAAAAAATACAAAATTAACTTATGAGTTAGTTTTTATTGAAGTGAAATAAAACAGGCAGAATGTGAGAAATGTTGACTACTTCATACATTTTATATTAATGCAACACAACCCTTCACATGTTCTCATTAACTAGGCAAATAAATATTTTATCAAGATAACAAAAGGCTAATTGAAAACGCTTCATTCTTTAGCGTTTCAATATTGGCTTTTTCATGTAGCTGAAGAAGAAAGTCATGCAACAAATAACTTTTTAACACTATTTTGACGTTTCTAACTTGGTCACAACCGCTAAAATAACAGTTTGGCCAAACAAGCCCAATATCATCTTGTGTTTTTTGTGTTCATTCTTTCTTGTGAGTCCCAAATAAGAGTATTTTTTTTTTT